AATTGAAAAATCTTTTTTTGATTTTTATTATTAGCATTGTTCTTCCGACGTCTGATTTCTTTTTAAAAAATGCATTTCTAAAGTGCATAAACTTTTGGGATTAACTGTATAGCCAATACATCCTTAAAAATGGTCGCAGACGTTTCTCCCTTATATAAAAAATAACATTTTGTTTTCCCAACGCTCTTCTGCACTCAAAGATCCTCGCACGGAGGCAATTTCGTTGATCCCTGATCGTGCTGTTTCTCTGCCGCTAAACACACAGGGAGACGCAACAGTGATCATCGCGTATACACCTAAACGTCTACAGTGTCTACACCTTGGATCGATGATGAAATTGCGAATATAATCGGTTCGGATAGACGAATAGCCCAACCGTTACGCTTCCCTGTATCTTTGACACGTATCTCGGCGCAGCACGGTCCTTTGAAAGCAAAAGAATATCTCGTGATCGTACAAAATTCAATTCACTATTTTCCTATCTTGTTCTATTCGAACGTTCGCGCGAACGGTAACGTCCAGGTTTGAAAGTTCAAACGAAAATCCATCCCCTCGACACGTAAAAATACATGGTCACGCGGAAATGCAAAATCCGATCATCACAGCAAAGGGCACTGAATGTGTGTGTGTGTGTGTGTGTGTGTGTGTAGTCCGAGGAGTATTTTTTAATTGCAAAGCGAGTGCATCCGTTATTTTAATAGTCGAATGCTGCGCGTGAAAACAGCAAGCGTTTTATATCAATATATATTAACGTCCGATCTCTCATGTAAGCGAGACGACTATCGTGCTGTAGCTCGTGCTGTTAGGTCGTGAACGAACGTGTATCCTATTTGATATCTCTTAGATATCGAAACGCATCGTCGCACACGGACAGTATAGTATAATAACGAACGTATACGCGTGCCGCGCGTTTCTGCCGTTTGCGCTACTCCTGGGATACCCTGTACCCGTCTGATTAGACGGTGTCTTCCTAAAGTGTCGCGTGAAAAAAGAGAATGATTGGAAATTGTAACGAATCGAGAAAAGTGACGAACTAGTTCCCCAGTGACGCGACGCAAATGGCTGTATCGATATACATATGCCTTATAGAATAGGACAGACTAAAAAAAAAACCTCACTCGTATAAAGAATGAAATGTACGGTGTACGGTATAAAATCCCTAAACGCTACGTGTAAATAATCTCTATTCGAAGCGCTTAATGACTGTGATAATAATCCTCTAATCTAATTTACATGGTATCGAGTTTAAATGTAAATAGCGTGATATTAACTTAGTAGCAACGATACACGGTTTAGCGATGATACAGAACGGCTCGATCCGGGCCGTTTAAAAAATCGAGAACAATAAATTTTCCCTGTTTGCACGACGGTACAAATGACAAACGATGGGGATAGAAGCCGTAGATCGAGCATCATCGTCGTTGTTGTTGTATCGAACACTTCGTCAAGTTATTTATACATATTTTACGTACAACCGATCAATGATTATCGATTTCCCTCGCGTACACGATTCGCGAGACGCGTCGATATCAGAGTAGAAAAATTCGTTTCCCTTACTAGATTCGTTAATAAATTAGACATCCAGACTAACCGAGATTCGCATTCTCTTCCTCCCTCGGGAAGTGAAACGCGATCCAACTATCAACGGATGTATAACTATTTTACAAAAGTCTACATTAATCGTCTCTCACCCTATCCTCGTCGACGTCCCGAACGATTCAAACGTTTCTCTTTCTCTCTTTCTCTCTCTCTCTCTCTCTCTCTCTCTCTCTCTCCTTGTCTCGTTATATAAAATGCGTGTATCAGCCGCCTGTTTTGCGTGAACAAGTGGTGCAACACCGGCGATTTCTGACAATCGCGACGTTAGCAATGATTCGGGTTAGTTAAATAACATGCACAGTTACACGTTTGTTAAACAGTTAGCACGGGCGAGATTCTTTGGAGGAGTTGTCGTTCGACGATCGAGATCGCGTTCATCGGGCATCCTTCGCTGTCAGCTTCTCTATGAGTTCTTGCAGCGGCGCCAATTCTCTTCTCTCTATCAATTGAAATTCCTGCAACAGTAACGTCGCGTCGAGATACGATACACTCAATGATACCAAGGTTTAGCGTTCTCGGAAGCTGGCGAATTTTCTTCCGACCGGATTTACCTGAACAAAGAATATAAAATGTTTGAACGACGTGTTTAAATGCGCCTCCTCGCCGAGTTGGACCACTTCGCTGAAGTGCTGATGATATATGTGCGCGTACACTCTGAACAATCGTTTCAGTATCGTCTTCGCGATGGAGGAGAAATTTTTTGGGAAAGGGACACCTGGAAGAGACGGAGATCCGATGAATATCGTAACGTATCGTTCGAATGAGACGATCCTCGAGACTCACCGATCTTCGAGGGAAATAAAGTTTCGTCGTCCAACTGGTCCTGCACCCAAGTCATCAAATAATCGATGTACTTTGGCGCAGAACATTTAATCGGTTTTTTAACGGTGTGTCCGTCGGCCCAATGGTATTCGTACTTCGGTCCTGCGGACATGATGGGACAACTCTCTTCTGTACAGAACTCCGTGATGGTTCCGTATAACATGTTGATTTGATTAAAAAAATCAACAGCTGGAACAAGATCGAACGATCGAACGAGCGTTAGAACAATTCGGTAGGCAGTTGCGACGAACGGGGAAATAAAGGGAAAGAAAAAAAAAAATTGGATTACTCACTGTTTACTGCGACCCATTCGTTCAAATCTTCACCCTCTGGAAGCATGACCGCTAGTCTCAAATTCCCAGAACCCAAGGTAGCTGCTGCATGCTTCATCAAGTCATACTGATGAGTTCCCTCTGGGATGTTCTTCTTTGGCTTGAAGGTTTTCGAAGACCTGCTTCCGCTTCAAAGGTTCATAACGATTTCCAATCATTCGATTCAGTTCGGCAGAATTTTCAGTCGAGAGAAGTAAAAACAAGTAACGGAAAAAGGGGAAATTGTTGGTGGCGAATGTAAATCGAGATAAGAACTGTCTTTCGACGATAAATTTAACGCGTGACGAATACGCGCGTGTGCAACGGTGCACGGGTGCAGGAGTGAAAGCGACTCGAACGGAGGAGCGGTGACGAAAGAGAGCAGGGTTCGTGTGAATCGTGGGAAACGGAACAGTTTTTAAATGAAATTATGGCATCGCGCTATTTTTGGGTACCTATCCGCCGATCACCCGATCGGGATGTGTATACGTACGTACGCGAATTTCGAAATGTATGCACAGGGATCGAAATTAGACGAAACGAGACGAAGCCAAACCGAGAGGTTCCTCCTGTCCTGTCAATATTTGTCATCGCCATCGACTCATAATAAATTAACGGCTCCTCCGTCGCTGTCATTTACGATTCGCGAACGCAAGGTATCGAACGAGGATCGATTAACGAGATAAGACTTTCTTTCGTTGACGTTCGGATTATCGCGGTACCCGTCTGTTTTCCACGATCTTTATTAATTCTCGGTGCCGAGACAATTTCCCCGAGAAAGGTGTCAACAACGTGTCGACGCCCGCGCGACTTATCGACAGGTCCATCGTCATTCGTCGTCGTCACCGTCGTCGAACGTGTCCGCGTTAAAAGAAAGGGCATTCGATGATACACCGTTTCATGTTTTTCGCAGCGCGTCGAAAAATTTCAACCGGCACGATCATAAATACGTCGCAATGAAGAAAAAGGACAACTTGGGAGACGATGAAGAGAAAAAAAAGACTTACAATAGGAAGCTCATTGTGCGCTTCTGGATGACCCGTCGGTGAAATTCGATTCACGGCTGCTACACGGCTATGCACGTGTCCTTAATTACCTCCGGCGGTATCGAACACCGAGGGGATGGGGCGAACGATTTTTGTTAAAAATCACCATGCACTCTCCCCCGCGACAACACGATAGACGTTTTGTCAACTCTACTTTTTTCCACGACAATCACCGATCACCTCGACTTCGATCCCCTTCCTTCCACCTCCACTTGCTTCCACTGTTTTCCCCTCCCTCCCGCACACCGCTGTCCGTAGAACGAGACTCATGCTAGAGAGGAAACCGAACACTGGAAACCACGACCACCAGCAGCGCCAGCAGCAGTGATTGATGGGCAGTACGTACATATAACGTCGATAGTACATACGTACGTGCCTTAAGTTTCACTGAGTTTCTCGTCGTATAATGCTGTTGTAGTTATACCTGGTTGTACGCAGTTGTACGTAATTCGCGTATGGGAAAATTACGGAAAATTAGCTTGAAGTTTCATTAAGGTAAACGCGTAAACGCCATTTTCAGTTTGCTAAACCTGCAGGCTGCAAGCCAAAAAGCTAGAGGCAATCCATCGAATACTGTGTGGCTCGGTGGTGGTGGTGGTAAGAGCGTCGTCGTCGGTCAGTTGTTGCTTCGGTGTTTCCCGTCGATTACGCTTAATCTGTAATTTCTGGTGATTAGCGAGGTAACAGCAAAAAGCAGTAAGTGTACGAACTACACGCGACGAACGAAGGAGGTAACTTGATTTCTACGAGAGCGAGAATTCGTATTTTATTAACAGTCCAAGCCCTTCGGCGAGGAAATATTTTTTTCAAACTCTGCTCGCGCATATACTTACATTGAGTTTCAGCACCTATACATTTTTCACGTACATATATTACATTTTCTTTCTTCAATATTTTCGGAAATTCTGTCTGACCTTCGGATTTTTCGACAGTCTCGTACCGTGACATTGTAACGATACGAATTTGTATCGGAATCGTTTAATTTTGCTTCTGTACACACGGACGTGAAATGAGGAACGTAGAGTTCAAAACAAACAAAACGAAAAGGCCTGGAGATTAATGTTCGACGTTGACCGTTGCTATAAACAAATAACTTGGCTCGTTTGTTAGAGGTTCACCATGTCGAACGGAAGCGGAGATCATGACGAGGAGGGATACGTGGTGAAGTTACGTGGGCTTCCGTGGTCCACTACGGTCGATGAAATAATGAAATTCTTCAGCGACTGTTCCATTTCGAACGGTAAGAACGGTGTTCACATGACCATGTCCAGAGAAGGTCGTCCAAGCGGAGAGGCTTACGTAGAAATGGATACACCCGAAGATATCGAGAAAGCTTGCAAGCGAGACAGGGATCACATGGGTCATCGTTACATAGAAGGTCCGTTTATTGAATGGTATTGAAACACGATCCGTTCGTCATCAATTTCGATCGATTTAAAGTTGTCGTCCGTTTAAAGTATTTAAAGCGAAAAGAGGTGAAATGGAGTGGGTGGTCAAGAGAAGCGGCTTGAACCTAGAGAATGCTATGGACGACGGTTGCGTGAGATTGCGAGGTCTACCATTTGGCTGTTCCAAAGAAGAGATAGCACAATTCTTCTCAGGTATTTTATACCATACACGCACCACTCATACAGTATCTTTATCTATTTGTATTGCTAGAAACTTACCATGTCACACCTTGCTGGTGACCGAACGGGACCTTTCTCTCTCTCTCTCTCTCTCTCTCTCTCTCTCTCTCTCTGTTTTTCACTGTTTAATTAAATTATTTCCACGTTTAATTTTCGTCGATCGATAAGAACCATTGAACCACAGGGACTCAATGCTTTCGATATCGGTTATAGTAGTAGCAGTAGTAGTAGCAGTAGTAGTAGTAGTTACGGTGTTCCAAGGTAATTGATCCGTTTTCCTTGCCAGAGATCGATACCGTCCCAAGCAACGTCTCTGTGTTTCTATAACATTGAAATTGCCTTAGTTAAGATTTAAGACCGAGAGAGATTGTCGAAAGTTCCTTGCGAACGAGACAATCCGTGAGTCGAAGACCCGAAACGTTTCAAAACGTACATGTATGTGTATATAAATATGATTTCCATGCGCTTTGTATGTTTTCTTTACGCGTTTCTGTTTCGAACGTAGAACTTAATTCTTAACTTAGGCGTGTAGTATAAATATTATCTTTAATTTTCGGTATTTAACTCGATTGAGAAATATTGGAGCGAGACGTTTCGCACGTAACGTGCGAAAAGAGGATATTTTCAAATCTCGCTTCTTCTCTTTGTAAGGGTTCTAAATAAAAAAAAAAAAACTGAAGATACTATTACGATTGAATAATGGGTGTTACACGCTACATTCTCGATGTTTGATTATGTGTGGGTCAGGGTTGGAGATATTGCCGAACGGGATTTCACTACCGACAGACTACACGGGCCGCAGTACTGGGGAGGCTTACGTTCAATTTGTTAACAAAGATGTTGCGGAGCGCGCTCTGCAGAAACACAAGGAAAAGATAGGACACAGGTGGGGCACTGACGCTAGCTGGGTTTGGGTATACTTACGACTTTTCAATATCATTTTATGACCGTAGTATACGTAGGTAATATAAATTTTGTTAGTAACCATAGCGGGAGCGATGATATTGCAGGATGCAGTTTCTTTATTCCTGTGGAACGAAAGACCGAACGACGAACGTCGTCGTCGTTGTTCCATTATGAGAAACATACTTTTGTCGTCGATCCGATGATTTATCCTTTAATTTTTTTTTTAAATTAAACGTGCGGCGGTAGCGTGGATAATAATAAAGAAACTGCTTCTTTTCGAAACGACACGAGTAAAACGAAGTTAGATCGTACGTAAGCGAAAGTACTGTTGGCCCAACTGAAACCTATGGGTGGGTGCCGGGCGGGTGGTACCCCCTTACATCGTCACCAAGTCCCATGGGAGGTGGGTAGGGCTGACCCAGGAGGATGGGTGGGCGCTACGGAGGTAGTAGTCATCCATCTAATTTGGCACATCTGTTTGACAATTGCACAATTGTACGTTATATGCAAAACGATTGTACGACGACGACGACTGTTGGTCGAGAGCTCTGCTGCTGGCTCTGCACAGTTCATCTCTTTTCATACGATCACGGTATACTGTACGTCTAGCCCTTTAACTGCACGAAAGATCATACGTATTCGATAATTGCGTATCATCCCTTGCGTATAATCCTCGTGTGAAACTGCATAAACTGCAATTGTAATTGTCACATACCTGAGGATCATCTGCGTCTCAATAGGCTGGGGTGTGAGACACATAAGATACGTCAGAATGGCATCGTGGGAGGGATACAGAGGTTTAATGAATATGTGGAGGTGTAGTATGAACAATTAATCCGCTATAGAATTATCAGTATGGATCTATTTTCACCGTTTCTCTTTTCCGTTTTTTCTGTTTCCCCCCACCCCCCCCTTTTTTTTAATATCGAAGCGAATATTTTACGTTTACACGCCGAAGGTGTATCTCCCGATATATTCCGTATTCACACGCCTCGCGCTCATTGATAGACGTTGCGTCGTCGGATTCTCTGTTATTCGAAGAGAGAGGCGATCGACATCGGCATACGGCGAGGATGATTCGTACAGGAGAACATCAATAACTGATATCGATCTTAACAGATACATCGAAATCTTCCGAAGCAGCTTGTCCGAAGTGCGTGCCAGCATCGGGCCGAAAATGCGAGGCGGCCCAATGGGCGGCTTCAATCAGAGACCCGCTCCCTATGACCGCGGCGCCCGTTTCGGTGGAATGAATCGGTTCAGCAACAACAGCAGAGGTTCCAGAAACAGAGGCAAATATCATGGTTCGCATCGTTGAACCGTTCCTCGAAGGCGACGAACGATTCAACGACACTTACACACGAGTACTCGCGTACACTCGCTACTGCCATCGTTCGTTTCTATTATATTTCTGCGCAGACTTCGACGGCGGTCCATGGGGAAGCGGCAATAACTTCGATTCTCGCGGAGGGAACATGGGAATGCGTGGCGGCGGCATGGACATGAAGAGCGGAAACTTTAGGGGTAGCGGTGACACGTGGGGTGGCAATTCCGCCATTCACAGCATACACATGCGAGGATTGCCGTTCAAAGCTACCGAGCAAGACATAGCCGACGTACGTGTACTTGGAAATCGGCTACGCCAACGACTATATTCTCTCTCTCTCTACTCGCGCGATTGGTCAAGGTAGTTGTGTAAATAATATTGTCTCGTGCGATTACAGTTCTTCAGACCCATCGAACCGATAAACGTTCAAATTATTCTCGAGAACGGCGGCCGGCCATCTGGAGAAGCGGACGTAGAATTCGCGACCCACGAGGAGGCTGTCAAAGCCATGTCTAAGGTTCATCGAATAAACGTTGCTTGTTACCCATAAGACTTAGCTCAACGATTTGTCAAAGTAACAAGATTGTTATAACGTTCGGTTATAGGACAAGAGCCATATGTCTCACAGATACATCGAGCTGTTCCTAAATTCCACTGGTGGTTCCAGCGGAATGTCCCTGGGTGGTATCGGAAACTTCTGCGGGGGTACGCATTTATTCAATTAATAATCTTTTCTCCTGATGATGATCAGGATTGTGTCTATATCGATCTTTCCGTCGGCAGGATTGGGCAATAACTTCAGGCCCGGATACTCTCCGAACAGAGGTTTCAGCTCGCAGCTAGGGGGTAGTAATTATAATAGTTTTTGAGGCCGGATATCGCGTTACGTGCGCTACCGACGATAAACCTCCCAAATCAAACTTTTATCACATCGAACGATTACGTGTAACAATGAATTCCGTTTTCATATTTCGTTTCAGTTTCACGTCAACTAACTTTTGTTCGTTCCATTCTGTTCTGTGAGCTACGCCTACGTATAATTACAAAGGGAGAGAGTGAAACTGACTTTACTTTAGTTTTTACGATGATACACGTAATATTCGTGAAAATCAATTGAAACCGTTTTCGCGAACGGACCGTGATTCGATCGATGGGAATTTATTTTCGACTACTGCGTTTTTCTGTTCACTTTCGTCTGCGTTCAGTGAGTTGGTCGCAGCCCGCGCAGCCGTATTCGAAGACAATTTTGAATCAGTCTTGTTCGGTCACGGTCCGATTCCGATAGTGGGAGTTTCATCCCGACGGATAGATGGCCTCGATGGCTCGATGCTCGATTTCATTTAAATCTCACGAAAAGTAAATTACAAATTTCAATACAAAAGGATAGGAAGAATATATTTCTAACTGTGTAATAATATAGCTTTGAACTCTGACAGAATCGTGGACAGAGTTTAGAAGTAATACGTTTGCAATCGTACAAGGATTCAGTTAGAATCATATCGGAAGTCATCGCGGACACACGAATGATTACAATCCATACTGTAACATAATATTTATCTAAAGAATAATTCACGGTTACATTTATATAGTTTATGCCGAGTATCGATTACAACTATTCTAGAAATTAACTACGCGAGAGATGTTGAACTTCTCGCCTCGTTCTCAATGATTACGATGTATACATATAGGATATTGTGAAAAAAATGAGAGTACATTGAATGATCCTATTCCACTTTTGGCATTTATGAAAATATTTCGAATCGTCGTCGACTTGTAGAGCGCTAAAGAGTAAGTTTCTGTAAACGACATCGCGGGAAGAAAGGAAATATTTATAATTAATATTTCGTTATATACATACATATGTACGAGTAAAAGTGGATAGAGAATACTCTCTTATTTGTCATTGTGAAAATGAGTGTTGTGCACCGTGCGAGAATGCTTGTAATTCGCTTGGAACCTCATATTTTGTACGCGAGAAAAAAAGTTGAAAGAGGAGCAAAATTATAAATTATCTCGTGTATGAGAATTATTAGGAATGGCGTATGTTTGATGTCACCTGTGTTTTATAAGGTATAACAATAAATATTATCTTGATAAATAAAGTCTCTTGACCGTACGACGAAAACGGTTAACAGTTTTCTCTACTGAAACATTACACTTTTGCATTAAAATTTGATAACGAACGATCGTGCAACAAAGCGAGTCGGCGTACGCATTTAATACGCGACACCATATCGGGCAATTGGACGTGTGATTCGTGCGTAGGTGTCTGGACAGAATGACGTACGACAATAGGCAGAACAACAACACGCAAGTATAAAACGATAGGTACGTGTATACGTACATAAATGCGCCGAAGGCTATCATTATCACGAATTGCTTCCGATGCTCGTTGAGATCCGGTGTTTTACGAATTACCGAGTAGGAGACGACAATATTGAGTGACTATACGCGGTGCAGTACACCGTACGACACAAAGATTACTACATATTTACGTACGCGATAGGTAGGTAGCCAACACGAAATTTATTTCGTTTGGTTAGTTTCGTTTCGTTTAGATCGTTACAGATTTTCTTCGTATTAACTATACTTACTACACATGCTTAAATGCTGGAAATATTTTTGTGAATTTGCTAGACCCGCTTTTAATGAATTACTACTCCGTTATCAACGATTTACGAGCGTGCATGTCATACGTATATAGATAAACAGTCTGTATATACACGTAATACACGTGTACATATAGTGTCGGAGAGGAAATTCATAAAAGCGTTTGTTCCTTATCTCGAGACGGCCACCTGTTGTGTTATCACGTTTTATCACGGGCAAAATTTTATAAATTATAAGTATATGGAAGAAAAATACTCGTATGTTGTTCGCTCTGTTTGATGGAACGTGTTTCGAACTAGCAGCAGGTTAGTTCAAGACCGCCTCTGTGGACACCCTATTCGTAAATCGTAAATATAATAAGGGGGGAGGGTAGAATTGAACACGCGTAAATTTCAAGCCCCGTGTGTTTGTTCATCACCTGGTCTTACATTACCTTTCGCTGATTAGAAGAGATTAAATTTTTTATCAGCTCCGGGATACCACCGACGTTGGTTAGATATCTTATTCCAAACTTCATTACCCTGTTGATGAACGTTCGTCGTGTTCGCGTTAAAGTAGCACGTCAGAAGTCAGAACGACGGAATCTAATCTATAAGGATAAGTGATCTTATTATATTCGGATTGGTGACCAGGAAGCGAGCAACGCGTGACTGCGTTACGAGTTACGAGGATTGCGAGTCGTGACACGTGTCCTGTATCTACGTTACTTTCAAACTGATGAGTGATTAGCAGATAACGTGGAGGAGGTAACGCAATCGTTTATTCATAATGTTTATTCTTGAAAATGTAATTGCTAAATTATCGCTGGAGCAGAACAGTTTTACCATCGAACGACGAAGGAAATTGCGCAATTATTGATGTCGGTTTCTTTCGATTCGAATAGGTTTAGCGTTAAGAGCGGGCCATGGAGGATAGAACGAGTAGCGGTGATCAAGCCGCCGAAGATGCCGAAATGCGATACGCTGACGACGAAAGGTACGGGCTCTGATCAAAGTCAGAGAATATGTGTACACTGTATAATGATGTACATACACGGGTGTATCATTTTCCTTAGGTACAACGACGATACCTGCAGCGGGAGACAGGATTTTTTACTTCCTAGCGCAGAGTCGCGTTCACCGAAAATATCGATCGAATATATAAAAAGGCCCGATATGAGTCGGTACAACCCAGCGCTCAGAAATCTTATACCGATACGTAACAAAAAACAGTAGGTGAATCGTAGGTGGTGTGGTCGTGTAATAATGAGACAGATCGTAAAATAGACAATAATCCGCTCATCTCTGCTCTCCGTGTGTTCTCCAGAGACGGGGAAACTATGCCAGCCGACAGCGCTGGATTATTTTCATACATTTTTTATACATGGATGACGCCGTACATTTGGAAAGCGTATAAAAAGGGCGTCAGCACCGCTGATATACCGCGTATTTCTATTTACGAGACGTCCAGGTACAATGCGCACAGATTGGATGTGCTTTGGCAGCAGGAGTTGAACGATCGTGGCCCAGACTCGGCATCGTTCTCGAGAGCTGTATGGAGATTCGTCAGAACGAGAGTGTACATAGCTGGATTTCTGTTGAGTTGCTCCACGCTCTGTGGATTCGTTACTTCTATGATATTGATGAAAAAAGTTCTGGAACACGTTCAGTCTCCGGAGCAAGATGCGTGGACAGGCGTAAAGTGGGCGCTTCTGTTACTGTTCTGCGACGTTCTACGAATAATATTCTTCAACTGGACTTGGAACACCAATATTAGGACGGCGTTGAGAGTAAAGTCGGCCTGCACGAGTCTCCTCTACAAGAAGATCGTTCGACTGAACAGCTACGGAAATAAAAGTACTGGAGAATTGACTAATCTATTTACTAACGACAGTCAGAGATTGTTTGACGTAGTCATTTACGGGCCGATGATAATCAGCGGCCCTATAATCATCGTTTGCGGTATAGTTTACATACTGTGGGTGTTCAGTCCTCTAGCACTTCTGGGAATATTCACGTTTCTCGTATTTTATCCTTGTCAGGTGAGAGAGAGAGAGAGAGAGCGCGCGCGCGTTCCGTACAATATCCGTCTCCTGTCTTACTCTATACTTAGATCGAACGTCTCCCCGAGGCTTTCGTTAAACTCTTCTGCTTCTTCTACAGTATCTCATATCACGCCTAGTCGGATATTTCCGCTCCAAGACTGTTGCCATTACAGACTCACGAGTCAAACTGATGAACGAAATCTTGGAATCCATCAAATTAATTAAAATGTGTTCGTTGGAAAAGTATTTTAGTCATAAACTTCTTAGTACGTGTGTTGGTTGTTTCTTGAAGTAGGTAGTCGCGTCGCCTCTAAACTGGTAATCCGTAGTATCCTGTTGCAGGTATACGAAGCAAGGAGAAAAGCTGGCTGCATAAAATTGTATATTTCCAAAGCCTTGCAATCTCACTGACGCCAGCTGTACCCATGATATCGGCGATCATTACGTTTTTAGCCCACCTATCTTCGGGCAGCACGTTGACTGCCGCTCAGGTACTTATTATACAATATCGTCGAGTCAATGGTCTGCGAATAATTCTTAAAGAAAATAAGACTTTCGGAGGAATATTAGAATAAGTAATTTTTATGAAGCACGCGATACCGCGTGTATGTACCAGCGGTAGAGGCTGATGGCCGGAAATATTTATCGCGTACACAGATTGTTTAAGGTGACGAAACTGATGTTGCACTCGAATGGGAGAATATCTGTACATGTACACGTTGTAGGCCTTCCCAATTACCACGTATTTTGGAAATATGCTGAGAATGGCACTGGCCTCTCTTAAGGATTCTACACGTTATTTTGTCGACGCTCGTATTGCTCTTACAAGAATGAAGGTCTCGCAAATTTTACTTTGAATCATGAACCGAATAACTTCGTACTTATTATTATTAGCAAGCAAGCTCTCTCTTTCTCTTTCTCTTTCTCTCTCGTTGAAAATGAAACTGAACCGGCTGTGTTCAAACGACTATAACGATGTTGACGATCGAATATTTTGCTGACTATAGTTGCTTCTACTAATAATATGTACCTCACCTGTGGTGAACGAGGTTTTGGAAGCTTTTGTTAGGAAAAATGGTGCGGATCGCGCGTAAATAAATACGAAACAATTGCTTTTTCTCTTACTCCTCCATGCGGTATTTAATACTGTGACAAGTCACTAAGAATGAAACACGGGTATATAATATGTACACACGTATGTAAAACGTCTGAGATGCAAATGTTTGGGAATGCGTCGAGTAACTTTAAATTATATGATATGTTACTTTTGCAGGTGTTTCCTTTCGTATCATTGCTCAATCAATTTCGTACTTCTTTCATGTTTTTACAAGTGGCATTAGTTAATATCGCTGAGTCGCGTATAACGCTCAACAGATTACAGGTGTTTATTTTTGCTTATTACCTATCGATAACCGCATTACTAATCCCGACGCGAACCTGAACAAGATCTTGTTCAATCATTCTTCGCGTCGCATAACGTTTGCACCATCGCGCTCGCTTTTCATCGCTCATAATATCGGACGATCGACAAGCATCGAGAACGGCTCATCCGTTGTCGTAGTCGTCGCAAGAATGTAAACGGTTTTGGGAATCAGTTCACTCGACTAGGTGACGATGCATCCGCTTGTGCACGCGTGCATCTTCGCCGGAAATACGCTTTTTGTTTGTCGGATGCATACCGTTTGCTGGTGTTTGCTTTGAATCGTCGTGCTTGGTCGTGCGATCAGACACCCACCCTGCCCGCGTAATAATAATAATAATTAATGATGTTCGTGCAGACTTTACTGCTTCTGGAGGAGCACAAATGCCATGTATCGAAACCGATCGTGAAATCGCAAGCCGTAGCAATCGTTAATGGTACGTTCGTTTACGAAAATGCTACCTTGCACGCTAGAAAACCAAAAACTGTTAAAGAGAAGAAGTGAGTGGAAAACCTTTTCTTTATTTTTCTGACAAACGTTCGCCGATCGTTGCATTTGGTCCAAGACGACCAAGACAAATTTATAGCAACAGATTTCGCAGGAAAGCTGCGTCGTGTTCGAACAGCAAGATCGAGTTAGAAAAACTGAACGAACCGCCTGAACGGACGACAGAAGATGTAAAAGTTCTGTTCGAAATTGAATTCGGGGCTAGGAAAGGTGGACTGGTAGGAATCTGCGGGCACGTCGGGAGCGGGAAATCCAGTCTGCTTCTCGCCGCCTTGGGACAATTGAAGATGACGAGCGGTGGTCATGTTTCAAGGGAAGGTTGTTGCGCGTACGTGAGCCAACAGGCATGGATCGTTAACGCGACTTTCAGGGAGAACATACTGTTCGGGAACCAGTTCGATGCTAGACGGTATTATCAAGCGTTAACGGTGTGCAGTCTGAAGGAAGATTTGAACGTGTTACCAGGTGGTGACGAGACCGAGATCGGGGAGAGAGGTGTAAATTTGTCAGGTGGACAAAAGCAGAGAATCGCCCTTGCCAGAGCCTTCTACGCGAACAGGTGAACGACCTTTCTCGCAGATACAGAATAGAAAAGTACGATACGGTACGATCGATAAAACATTGCGCGTTTAAATTTCCGTTTTTTAGAGACATTTATTTCCTGGACGATCCCTTGAGCGCGCTGGACGCGCACGTGGCTTCGTACATTTTTAAGAACTTGATTCTCGACGCGCTCAAAGACAAATGCGTCGTGTTCGTTACTCATCAGATTCAGGTACGCCTCGATCAGAGTTGATCCGCGATGCGATTATCGCGCTTAAGGCGCTAGTAAAACTAAATGTCCTTTGCAGTTCCTCAAGCACTGCGATCACGTCTACTTAATGTGCAAGGGTAGGATCGCGGAACAGGGTACGCACGACGAGTTGATGCAACTGAACAAAGAGTATGCAGCGATGATGAACAGCGCGTTATTAAAGACGAAGAACGACTCGGATAAGTATGCTCATTATCTTTATCGAAGAGACTGGCCGTTACTATCGCGACCGCCCCGAACCTATTTTCATTCGATTCGATTTCGATTTCGATCAGTGAGAGTTCCACGATCGTTCGACAAAAGTCCGGCAGAGACTCTAGCAACGATCTGAAGGGACAACGACAGGTACACGGCTGTTCGAGTAACGATGAAAATGCAGATGAACCGTCGAAAAAGACGCGCGGCGAAGGTACGTGTCCCGATGAGATCGGCACGATCCGACGATGTGAAAGCTAAACCGAAACGCTCGTTTAGGGACGACTCTTACCACGCGAGAAAAGATGGAGACGGGTACCGTGAAATCGTACACGTATCATGTGTACGTAAAAGCAGCGGGTGGTTACTCTGTAGCCGCCTTAGCGATGTTCGTGGTTTTCTTGAACGTTGGAAGCAACGCGTTCAGTTCTTGGTGGCTGGCCGAGTGGATCAACGCCGGTGGTGGGGTAAATATTTTATAGGAACAAGACTGACCACGTTCCATATTCTATTTATTTCACTCTCATCGACTCTGATCGTCTGTCCTTAAGAACATTACCGATCCCGGTACCAATGAAACCGTAGTATCGGACAATCTGAACGACAATCCGAACTATCATTATTATCAAAGCGTTTATGCCGGATGCATCGGGATCATTTTGGTAACGAGTATATTCCGCGGATTGGTCATTATGTACACGACGATAAACGCGTCGACCACGTTGCACAATAACGTTTTCAAAAAGATGATCGAATCGACGGTAACATTTTTCGAGACCACTCCGATTGGCAGGATACAAAATATATTTAGCCGCGACACGGACGAGGGTAAGTAGCATCGAAGTTCATCTTTTTTTGAACGAACGGTCTGTACCACACTTTTCTGTTTTCGTTTCTACCGCAGTGGACAGTTATATACCGATATCTGTAGAGAACATGGTGCAAAACATTTTCACTTGCGCGTTCGCTCTTATATTCATATGTGCGATAATTCCCTGGTTCTGTTTCCCCTTGATCCTCCTCGCCGCGATTTTTTTTTACATCAGCAAAGTGTTCAGGTGAGGTGATATGATCATGAACCAAAACGAAAGTTCGCTCGCAGAATATATGGCAAGTGGTAAACATTTTTCCAGAGTAGCAATGAGAGACTTCAAGCGGCTGGAGAGTACTTCGCGATCGCCCGTTTTGAGCTTCGTCACGACCACCGTTCACGGTTTAAACACCATCCACGCGTTTCAGAAGGAGCGTGAATTCGTGAATAAGTACGACGTCTTGTCGACGTGAACAAACAATGCACTTATAGACGAGATCGAGAATTGAGGGTCGCCGTCTTGTTTTAGATTCGACGAGATATTAGATTTAAACAGTTTGTGTCTTTATCTGTGCCAGTCTATCATGAGATGGTCCGCGGTAAGACTCGACAGCTTGGCAATCGCTTCCTCTTCTATCACCGCATTTTTCGTGATAGCGCTTAGAAACCAAATACCTCCGGCCATCGCAGGCCTGGCGATGGCCTACGCCACGCAGATGACCGGTGTCTTCCAGTACACTGTGAGGCTGATGGCTGAAACGGAAACTCGTTTCATCAGCGTCGAAAGGATAAACCACTACCTCAAAGTAAAAATTAATCGGAAGAGATGGAAGAGAGATTAGAACGTAGTAATTGATATTCGTAATTGATATTATATTTCGTAACAGCATTTGCCAAAGGAAGAAACTGCCGTGGAAGAACCTATAGATCCTCCGGAGGAATGGCCGGCGGAAGGGAAACTGGAGTTCCGTAAAGTCCAATTAAGATATAGAAAAGAACTGCCACCTGTACTGAATGATATCTCGTTCGCCGTCAATTCTGGAGAACATATAGGTAAAACGGGTCCACGAAGCGTCCGTGTACGATTCATGAATCGATTGTACGACCGTTCGAATTGTGTAGGTATCGTGGGGAGAACGGGGGCTGGCAAAAGTTCTCTGATAGTAGCCCTATTCAGACTGGTCGAGATCTCTGCAGGAATGATAAAGCTCGACGGCGTAGACCTATCGAGAGTGAAGTTGAAAGTATTAAGAGACGGATTGTCTATAATTCCTCAGGATCCAGTTTTGTTCGGCGGAACTATACGGTAACTCGAGATGTAACTACAAGAGGATACCGCGGTATTTGTCCGTTTATTTATTTATTTGTTTGTTTGTTTGTTTGTTTGTTTGTTTGTTTGTTTGTTTTCTAGATCGAATTTAGATCCCTTCGACCAGTACAGCGACTCTGAGATGTGGACATCTTTGGAGAAGACTCAATTGAAGGAGAAAGTTCAAGCGATGTCAGGACAATTGGACGCGCCCGTCGAAGTTGGTGGAAACAACTTGAGCGTCGGCGAACGACAGTTGATCTGTTTGTCTAGAACGCTTTTGCGCAATGCCAAAGTACGCTGTAATAAGAATCGTAATATATCGGTGACGGTCCAGCAATTTACCCTGGTGTTTCTAGGTATTGATACTCGACGAGGCAACAGCCGCCGTTGATCCGGAAACTGAGGCCGCGGTACAGAATACGATTCGAAACGAATTCTCAACGTGCACTGTATTGACCATAGCTCATCGTTTGAAGACTGTATTTTCGTGCAACCGCGTCATCCTCATGAGACACGGCCAAATAATCGAATTCGACGCACCCTCTGTACTTCTGTCGAATCCTAATTCAGAGTTTTCGAGAATGATGACGGCCTCGTCGGAGAGAAGTATGTGAAGTAGTGTAACTCGAGAGCCATTGAAACGAAGTAAAAAGATTCAAATGTTCGACGTGTTTCACAGACGATATTTTATATTACGATACTTAAATGCGTCAAGTGCGATATTTTTGTTCGACTAAACATCACGTTGTATTATCTCATACATACAAATAAGGAAATAAAGTAATGAAAACAAATGTTGAATTTCCGCGAGCTATATCCATGTATATCGGCAGATTTTACAATTGGAACAGTATACGGGTTCAGAGCCATCCCGTTGATTCGGCTGCGATTGGCGCGATTTGAAATACCTATTGATTTAC